AAGTTTAATTCATTTAATGTACTTTTTTATAAAAAATTTATCAAGTGAATTAAACTTTCATATATTTTATGCCTACAAGTTACTGTTTTTAGTAAGAAAGTATTATTTGAAAGGAGGAATGTATAGACCAACACTGACAAGAAGAAAAGAGAAACCAGTAACAATTCAATAAATTTACTGCCATATTTTCATTTTTCTCTATTTAACTATGTATATTGCCTCTTTTAATGGTTTCTAGGGTAGAACAACTAAAGTCAACTAAAATCAAGGCACCAACAACCTAAAGCACTAATAATCACCTTCAAATTATCTAAGAGCATATGTTTCAACTGGTATAAACCAGATTTCAGTTTGCTTCCAGTTGAACACCACTTTTGTTGTTACATTTATTTTACAGTGAACATGAATGTCTGTAAGAATCTGATAACACACTTAGATTTGTAACTAAGTTGAACTCTACCATAACATTCAGATACAAGCAACTTGATATCTAATGAATTATCATTATCTTAATTCACTCAGGTTCAAATGGATAGATGAGTTCCATCTAATAGACAAACAAATGTTTTGCAATCAGGTTTAGTTATCTACCTTCTATCATTTCTAAAGAAATACAATCTCATCAAGTTTTTAATATGAAGCTTTGTTATGATACTGTTTTGCAAATAGACTCAATTGATTCCTGGAAATGCAAAATACACTTGAACTGCACCTAACTCAAAGGTAATATTTTAACCTGAAATTACACATCCTTTATGTAGCATTGCTAGATGTAGGCTAGGAAACTGATTGTCTACCAAAAATTGTTTCAATCAGCTAGTAAACTATTTCACATTCATCACATCAATCATGGTTAAATTTATAAAATCTGTTATCTTTTCTTGTGGGATATCCAACCATCTCAAATTCAAAATGAAAAGCAAATTTTTTTTAGACATTTACTATTTTACAATTCAAATGTTTATTAAAATTTAATGTAAAAATTACTTATGAACATTAAGAGAAGTCTCCCCTGAAAAATGGATATATGTTTATCTGAACAGATATTCTGCCAAACTTTAAGTATCCAACTTGTTCGATCTACCATAACCAAAAAATGCTATATTTGATAGTAGGTTAAAAGTAATTCAAAGAAAACTATTGGTCAAGACATTCTTTCTTTTTATGTACCATATCCTTTCAGGACATAGGCGATCATGGCTCTCCACCTCCCTCTATCCTTTGCATCTCTCAACAAGTTCCTTCCCTCTGCTTCATCTCCCAGACCATGTTCTGTCATCCACTTGCTTAAGACCTCCAAGTATGTCATGCATTATTTTCTCTTGTCTCTCTTTCCCTCTATTCAACCCATGAGTATCAGATTCTCCAGGCCCTCCTTCCTCATTATGTATCCCAGGAACTTCAGCTGCCTCTTCCTGATGTTAAGTATAAGCCTCCTTCTTGTTTGTAACCTCTCTAAGACCTCATCGTTGCTCACATTCTGGAATCTGTCCTTGGCCATCCAAATATGCCTATTGATCTTAATGTCACACTTACTGTTCTCTGTCAAGACGCTTCCCAGATATTTAAACTTCCACATCTGCTTGATTTTAGTGTTCCTGACCTGTAAATCGCATTTTAGGCTCTTCATCTTACCGTTGACCATGCATTCTGTCTTGTAGTTTATGCTTAGTTCTTTCTTCTCACTCTCTGTCACTACCTTCTGTAGAAGATTTTGTAATTTCTTTTCTGTGTCTGCTATCAGTACTGTGTCATCTGCATATCTTTTGTTGTTAAGGTTGTGGCCACCAATGCTAAATCCTGGTAGGTTTTCCAATTTTCCAATTGCCTCAGTGTATAGGTTGAATGGGTCAGGTGAGAAGCTGCACCCCTTTCTATTTTTGTATATTCACTGAACTCGTTCCCTATGCACATGCATGCTGTTTGCTGCCAGTATAGGTTCTTGATTATTCTGATATCTTTCCCGAATATATCAAAGTTGTTGAGCAGTTCCATCAGATCCTCATAGCATACTTTGTCGAAGGCCTGTGTGTAGTCTATGAAACATGGTCCTTGTTCCGGTGTATTTAACAAACCAGCACTATTCTTGTCCAATCTCTGGCCTGATTCTGCTGCGTTCTCTATTCATACAGATGTGTTTTGTCATGTGGCTCATTAGGTTTATTGTTTGGTGATGTTCCCATTTGTTTGCACCTGGTTTCTTAGGCCTAGCTATGAAGATAGATCTGCTGAGGTCTTCTGGTATATCCCCACCGTTGTAGATTTCATTTGTTATTTTGGTGATCTTGTCTATGACAAAATCATCTAAGGCTGTCAACATTTCCATTACAATTTTATCTGGCCCAGCTGCCTTGTTTCTTTTCAATTTGACAAGTCAGTTGGTAGTTCTGCGTATTGCTTGTTATTCACTTTCATTGTGGAAGAGTTCTCTAATATCCTCGCTCCAGTGTTAAAGAATTTTTTCCTTCTCTAATATGAGCATTCCATCCTTCAATTATAGGCAGCCTGTTGACGAGAATGTCTTCTGTCCTGTTAGTTGTCCTATTTGTTTGTGCATATCTCTTTTGTTGGTAGTACTCAATCTTTCCATTTCTGCACATTTTTCATTTAGCCATTCTTCTTTAGCTTGCCTGCATTTGGTCCTTATTTCATTGTGTAATTTTCTGTACTCTGTCCCATATCTTGGCAGGGTTTTCTGACTCTTTTCCATCATGTTCAGAATCTCATCAGTCATCTATTTGTTTTTCCTTCTTTGTCCCAACTCCTTTAGGATGATATCATTTGCTGATGTCACTAAAGTGTCTCTCAGTGCATCCCATTTTGAGTTTTCATTGTGTGCCTTGTATCTTCTCTTCACATTGTCCATATGTTTTTCTTTTAGGTTAGGATCATTTAGGAGTTTGTTGTATTGCAGATTGGGTGCTGCATTAGGCTTCTTCAATTTCCAGAGTTTTACTCTTAGTTTACATATAAGAGGGTGATAGTCGCTTTCGGAGTCGGTACTTGGGTAGGTTTTGCAGTGAATCATTGCATTCCTGAATCTTTTGTTGATGGTTATATAATCAATTTTGTTTTTAGTTTCTCCTCCTGGACTCCCCCATGTCCATAGTCATCTCAGATGATCTTGGAACCATGGTTTGGCTATTACCTGGTCATTGGCTGTGCACCATTGGATCCATTTTTCTCTATGTCTGTTGCAGGTAAGATTATAATCACTTCAAATATGACAGTCTACCAAAACTTCAAACATCTACCCATCATTTCCAATTACCCAATGCTTTTTCTCTGAAGAATGTTCATTGACTTAGGAAGTGGCTTTCTTTTGACTGCTCTGCCAAAATAACCTATGTGATAAATAGGAATTCCCAATTTCAATCCTATTTAACCCTGACCCATTTTATTTTCAGATTAACATTTGGAAATCTGATAATTCACATGCTTCTAAAGTACAAAACCATATGTACTGATTGTGTATTAATTTCTCTTGAGCTTTTACAGTCATTTCAGTAATTGTCAATCACTATATTTTTATTTTCATATTAAATATCAGTCTCTATTCAGGTTAGGATGTTATAGGAACAAATTTAAAAAATTTTCAATATCTAATAATAAAATGAACAAAAGAATTATCAAAATATCATAATATACATCAACTCTTTCATGGAAGATGTTTATGGTAAGAACATTTTGTTTCAACAGCAACTGAAATATGACTTTATAACATTTTTGTTGCCTACTGTTAATGTATTTAAGACACCATGAAATTGAAATGAAATTTCAAAATAAAAATAGTATGACATCAATATTAATATATAATCTCATAAATCATCAATAGTATAAAAATGATAATAAATGTAATCTGAATTAAAAACAAAATATTATGTTTTAATGTCTTATATTATTTCTGGTATATAGTTAAAAGAAAATGATAGTTTAGTTTCTGTAATCTTGATTCAAAAGGAAAAAATTACAAGTCCTATGGTAATATTTATGCAATCAATTATGTTAATGATATCAAAATGCTAAATGGCTAAAAAAAAAAGAAAAAAAAGAAATAAATGAAAATTATACATGCTGAAAATATTTTTTATCTAGTTAGATGATATGAGATTTCAAGATAATTAAAAATGAAAAATACACTTTCCAACTGTCTTTTATCTTAAAAATACTCAAATTTGCCTTGTTTATTTTTAATAAGAATACAAATATTTTTATTTTGACTGTTTCTATATACAAAAATTATCTAAAGAGAGCAAAAGTTAAAAAACAAAACAATTTGTAGATTTAATCCAGCCAGTCAAGGGCTGAGTGTTTCTTCACTTCTACCCTGACCCTTCCCTAAGATTAATTCTGAAAAGAAATCAGATTATTTATGGTTTCATGCCATGACATGGAGTGAATAAAAAAAAATTCTAAAATCATTTATTTTTGTATCTACAAAAATATCAAAACTATTAAATAATTCTTCAAATATTGAAATATTATCAAAAGAACATTTTACAACAAAGGATTCTCCAAAAATATTCCCAATGTCTTAACTGCAAAACTGTTCAAAACATTCTCTAGGGCTTTTCTATTAAATATTTTTTTTGAGTTCCAAGAAATTCATAGGTTTATTTTTTAATAAACCTACTTCCAAAATTGTTCTTTTTAATTACTGAGCAAATGAAAATTTTTGTGAAAACAGAAAATCAGAAGATAACACTGAATCTCGAGTTCTCTCCTTACATTTAATCACCATTCATGACCAATATCTGACTCTAATTTTTACCTTATTCCTTTTCCATATCATTTCAACTGGCAACTTCTATTTATTTCAATGAGTGCTGGATTTCATCTTAGAAATGTATGTTAACCCCATTTACCCAAACTATTTTGGAGTCATTTTCACTTAGTCTTTAAAATAGGATCAAATAGTTAAATTATTGTAGTGTGGAATGACAAATCTGTTAATTTTCAACTTTAGAAAGTTTTGATGAAATTATGTAAAGAATTAAGACAGTTTTAGAAGAGAACAAAGTGGGTAAGGAAAGGGAAAAAAAACAGGTGGTAAAAGTAGAAAGCATAAAAAAGAAAGATAGATGAATAAATAGAAAAACGTCAATAGGGAAAAAGGATGAGAAAAGAAGCCAACAAGAAAGAAAAAGGATAAGAAAAGAAACTGACTAGTGGGAAAAAGGATGAGAAAGAGACAATGAGGGACGAGGAAAGAGAGCAACAGGAGGAAAAAGCATGAAAAAACAAGCCGACAGGAGGAAAAGGTATGATGAAAGAAGCCAACAAGAAGAAAAGGGATAAGAAAAGAAGTTGACAAGAGGTAAAATGAAGTGAAAAGCAACCAATGGGATGAAGTGGAAAAATTGAAAAAGAATATTGATAAAAATGGAATACTACATGAACAATAAAGATAACTAGAAAAACTGTCATTTTCTTAAGCTAATGAAAATCTTAACTAATATATATATACACACGCACACACAGAGAAGATCTATTGGAAGTCTGTCCACATGACCATCCAGTAATATAGCTACCCAGTTTATATATATTATTTTTTCTGAATTAAAAAATCAAATTGCAAAGAAAACACATGTTCCCTGCTTGGTGTATGCCAGATGGAGCTAAAGCGAGCAATTTCTATGGGCTTGATTTATATATATATATATATATATATATATATAGATAGATAGATATTAGACAGATAGATATTACTTCACTATATATTTAAAAACAAAAATAGAACAAGGTTTTGTCTACTTAAGTGAATGTACTTCCAGATATAAAATAGCTATTAAAAAAACATAATCAATGAAGCTAAATTAATTTCTTCACACATTTTATGAATAATTGAGTACCATAAAACAAACACTTAACAGCAGTTTCCAAAACTATGTTGTTGATGAGCAAATTAAATTAACTTTAATAAAAATTTAGAAAAAAAAAAACGGGGGGGGTGGATTAGACACATGTTACAGTAGACATCCCTGTTTTTTATAGTAAAATTGACATCCACTGGCCTAGATAATCAAGTTTTATTAAAGGAAATGTACCTCTTGGCAGGAATTGAACATGTTTCCTAGGTAAATGAAAGCTAGGTTCAATTCCTGTCAAGAGGTACATTTTCAAAATTAGTCCATTAGGTGTTACAAAACTAGATGGTGCCTGAAGATGATGATATTACAATTTGAAACATATTTTAGCATGCCTTCTTCTGCAGTTTTGTTTCTTCTTTTCTATAAAAATATCTTGAATCTTTAATTAAAATGAGTTCTGTATAATATTTTAGTATTATCTACTAATATTTTTCAGATGTTAATACTGATATTATGGCTGTTAGTGATGGGTTGACAATATATATATATATATCAGTAGCAATTCCGGGAGTCAGACTTGTTGGGCTCAGCAAAAGTGAGTTAACATTTAAGTATATCTTTTTCAAAGCAACAAAAATCTTTCATAGTGCATTGTTTTCATTACTGACTTCAGCTGGATCCAAAATTAATTGCTTTAACTCCATGCCTCAAAATATTGACTGAAATACATTTTTGTTGATATTGTTCACAAAAAAAGAAGAAAAAAAGAAGAAAGTAAGTAAAAAAAGAATGAAATAAAATTAACATGGCTAGCTGGACTTCGTAGATCTGAGCCCTTTCAAGCTGGAGACATACTTAATAGGCAATGCATTTCTTGCTTTAATTTCTAATGACTTGTATTCCCTTTTTTCAAAGAACACATTTTTATTTCAACTTGTTCTTTTCAAATGTCCATTTTAAATAATTCATTCTGTACAATATAAGGTTTTTTAGTGGAATGTATCATCTGAAAAAGAACAAATTAAATTTAGCTGGATTTAAAGACAACAAAAATCAAAGAAATTGGCAGCCTTAATTCATTGACTGGAGGCTTGACATGAGGAGTGTGACTGGAGCAGTGTTGAGGAAATATGATATCAGTCAGCAGTACTGATCATAAATGTACAATAAATTAAACTAAAAATTCACAGAGAGATACATAAACACACCAACGCATAGACATATATACAAACATACACTTGAGATAGGTACCCACATTTTACATGTCTGGAAAATGTGTGTGTGTGTATACATACACACACTTAAAAATGATGTCGTTTAACAGGTTGTTTAAGGGGGATCTTTAACTAAAACAGTTGAAGGTGTCATTACAATAGAATAAATAAGTGATGTACAATAATTATAATTTTCTTACCACATGTATAAATACTGGAAGAAATAACTCAGGAAGTGTGAATTTAGTTTGATTCTAAGAGACTGAATATTAATAATGACTATCATTACTACTACTTTCCCCTGCTCATAAATTCTGTTTGGTTTTCTGTCAGAAAATATACTGACTGGAGCATTAATAATAAACAGCTCTGATATCAAATATCATTTGTCACCGGAAGATGACATAACTGAAAAATGGCAATAAATGAAGAGCCTAAATTCTCAAGTGAAAAAAAAAAAAAAAGTTGTGTGATATTTGTTTGCAAAAGCAAATCAACCATTATATGAAGAGATGCCATAAATAAAGCATTTCATGAAAATCATTTTTTTTTACTTGCTGTAGTATCAAAAGGAAATAGAAGATCAAGAAACAAGGCTTTTTACCAAAAGCAGAAGCTTAACAAGTGTGAGTAGTTAGCAAGCCATGACAACAGCATACAAATCCAAGTACCGTGGAGAGAAAAGGGATTAGGATGTCATAAGAAAGAGGAAGAGGTGGTCAAACATTTCAAACACAACCACAGAAATCTGTACAGAACAAATACAATATAGTTCTTAGCAGGGAATCTATGTTTGTTTATGAATAAGGCAGCAGAAATACTTAGGAACAAGTGGAAGCTGTGCCTTCAACACAAATACTGCTGCCTTATTCCTCAATATTTTACTGTCTGCTCACAATGCTTTCTATTCAGAGAGAGAGAGAAAGAGCAAAGCATATTATGGTCTGAATTCTACATTTTGTGCATTCTAGAAAATTAAATTATTACAAGTTCCACTTGTCTTGTCCACACCAAAAGCTCTTGTGCATAGACATTTTTAAACAGATAACTTGCAAAGAAGAAATACAAGAGAAACTTCAGTTGATTGAGTATCCTTCAATTGCTTTTCTAAATAAAAGGAGAGATTGGTAAAAAGAAAAATGGTTTCTGAATTATTTTTTTCCCTATTTTTATCTTCCATGTAACCATTTAATCTTGTTGTCTGTATTTTTTTGCTTATTGATCAATTAACTTGACTTTCAGAATAGACCAAAAATAATATATTTTAACTATTTAGTTTCTATCTTTTTTAAATCATACTGAATGTAAAGCCTAGAACTTTTCATAAGGATAACATGTGTGAACTGTAATAAAAAAAAACAAAAAAAACAGGATTTGATATAATGAATAATAACAATCAACTAATAATAGCTGATTGCTCAACTGTTTTAATATACTCTCCAATATTAATTTTAAAAAATACAACCATTTCTAGCTGAATAAATTAAACAGTAATATTAATTCTTGCTTCACATTGATAATCATAAAAATTCAAGGTTATATCTGTCTCACTATATATGACCATTTACTGAAATTCACAGTTTACATTATTTTTAACAGAGTTTTCAATGATCAAAACCTGCACACAAACAGAATAAGTCCATCTGTTGTAACACAAGTTTTAAAAAATTCTTTTAATGTCTCATATCCCCATGAAACTAAAAAGCTGTTGTATCACAGCCATGGACCTTAAAATTAAATTATCTTTTAACAAATTTTATCTAATGTCATAATTGTCATAGTTTTCTTTCTATGTGGATGTTTCCTTTGTCGTTTTTGTCTTTATTAAAATTTACAGCATGACTTATTACAAGATGTTTAAAATATGTTTGATCACTTTATTCTGCACTAATGATATGTTTTAAGACATGTTCTGTAGCAAATATACATGAATAATTAGGGATTATGACTTTCATAATATCCAATCAAATGTATTTTTGCTTAAATAGTTGCTTTTCTCTTATTTCAAAGCCATGTGCTGTACCATATTTACCCAAGATTTTATTAAGATAAAAAAGAAATACCTACAAACTCTGCATTCTCTAGTCCACATTATGCTTCAGAAGAAAAATATTCTTGGTTGCATTTGACTGAATATTTAGCATATGGTTTCATTGAATCTCCAATCGATAAAAGCATGGCAATGTGTTTATTGTGCCATAAATATTTTTCTAGTGAAGCAATGAAACCATCTTGTCTGCAAGAACATTTTAGTTCTAAACATAAACAAAAATGATAAACCTGTAGAATATTTAAAAGATCTTCATGAGCAACAAAAAAAAAGCAATAACTTCAGCATTTGAAAATGATACAGATCAAAGCAAAGATAACCTCAAAGCAAGTTATCAAATACAGCTTATTGCTAAAAATGGAGGATCCAATAATGTTAAAGTTATTAAATGAGGTTTTGAAATGCTTATATTGATTGTGATGCATCAGACCTAGCAGCCATTTTAAAAAAAATTAATGATAAATAATAAAACTTTTAGTGTGCAGATTGACGAAACGGCTATTGACTTTCAAAAGCAATTTGTTTTTATTTCAAAGATAATTTTCACTTCAATTAAATGAGTTCATGGTTAAGAATGCTTTAGTAATGACTTATGCTTATTATTTTGATGAAAACAATCTACTGCAAAAAGAATTGCTATTTACTAATACTGTTACCATTTATACAAAAGGTACATTTACTTTTTTTTCAATAGGTAAGTTATGCTTTGAAATGAATAACATAACACTGACAAATATTTATGCTTGTGCAACAGATGAGGTACTAGCAATGGTTGGTACTACCAACATTGTAATAAATTCTAAGTAATAAGATCAAATTTAACATTAAAATAATCAAGTATTAAGGCAATTTTATAAGGATTGGGGAAACATGTTTGATTCTTCACTCATAACAGCCAATGCTTGATAGATTTTGTAGAATTGTATGACACTGTTGTACAGTTTTTCTTTTTAAAATGCTAAAGAACGTGTCATAATTAAAAAAAATAGAAAGATTTTTTTATTTTACTTAGCTTATATATTCACAGAGTCAAATGAAGTTAATTTATATAAAAAAAAATTATAACACACATTACAAGTAAAATGTCTTATTTCTTGAGAAACTAAATGTGTTTAGACAAAATATCATGAATCCAGAATTTCATCAGTTTAATAAGTTATTTTTCCAGTTAAAGATGCTCTTAACAATTTATGATTTGAAAAACTCTAACAATCATTGTGCTGCATCCTATATTGACATCGAAAATTGATTTTAAGACATCATCAGCCTCAAAGTAGATATTTGTTAGACATCCCATTTAACCCTTTAGCATTCAACCCACCAAAGCCTGCCCCGTAAATATTGGCTTGCAATGTTCAACCCACTATAACCCACCCTATGTATACTCTGTCATAATATATGACAACATCATTGCAAATAACATAGGAAGTCATGCAAACAGTGTGACCACAAACAGTGAAACTTCAAGAGTTGATATTTATGGAGCAGATTAGAGTGTGTTGAGCATTAAAAGATTAATGTAAACATATTTGAAGTGAAAGCTACTTACCAGGAAGAGTTATTGCAAGAGTATGATACAGAGCAAAGCATATTTTAATGAAAGTTGAATACCTACAACTTAGATAGAAAAGTCCCAAAACTTTATCCACATTTATAAAATAAGATCTGACTATAATAGTTATCAAAACTTTGTATTTAGTTGAAACAACATTTAGAGTAGTGAATAAGATTGTTATGAAAGTGAGAAATTGCATGAATGCAGCAGAGAGAGAGAGAGAGAGAGAGAGATTGAGATTTGTTTCTGAAAACAATAAAATCAAATATAGAGGATTGAGTTAACAATCATCAGCCACAAGGTTCTTATGAATGGTAAATATTTATTCTTATACAAATTTGTGATTTAATTTTCTATCCTTAGAGTAAACATTTAAGAATTCTTCAAAGATATCAACAATATCAATAATAATTAAAGCAATTAAAAATTTCAGTTCATTACTTATTTTATCAATTATTTTTGCACAAAATGCTATACTCCAAAAAATATTTTCAAATTTTATGGTTGGTGATAAAAAAATGTCCAACAGGCAACGCAAATAAACAAGTCACCAGTTGCTGACTCAGCGTAAAGTTCAGATCATCTGCTGGTTCAGTGATATTTCTTTGTTGCCATGGTCATAACAAGCTGTACTTCCCATTGAATCTAATAGTATGATCAATTTATCTCTTATCACCCCCCACTCATACACACACATGTTATAAGTCCTTTCTCAACAATAATCAAGCTGACCATAAAACAGGAAAAAATCTTTCAATGATTGATGGCATTTGATTTAGACAGAACATTTGTGAATATTCACCTGAGTACACATTTCTCATGTTATGAGAAATATTTTTGGCATCCTTTTACCAGAATAATTCACTATTTTATTTGTAAAGCTGAAGGCAACATATTACACAATAATCCCAGAGAAGTTAAAATAGATCATTAATAAAGAGAACAAGAGAGAAAATACTGAGAAGCTGTAAAGGCGGAAGTGATACAATTCAATCTGTTTCTTTAAGGAAAACTCCCTTTATACATGTGCATACACACACACATAATCATGCATGAATACACAGACACATTCAGAGAAAGCAAAAGGTGAAAAGTAAGTTTTAAAAAACTAAATACCCATAAGAAATAGGTAAAAAGAGATAGATATCACTCTTCCCAATGAAAAAAAAACTTTGCACTGTCTGTTAATTGAATGACATTTCTATAAAAAAGAAATTTCATAAGAATATTATGATAATTACAAATATCCACTGAATAGTAATAAGTTGCTTTGAAGGAATTTTAAAATGTGAAGAATGTAATGTGTTTGTTTTGTTTCTTTTAGTTCTATTTGATTGTCTTTTAAATATATACAATTTATGAATGTTAAATGATAGAAAAACTGCAGACTACAAACTTTTTAGGATGAAGTGGATGATGCATCTTGCTTAAATTTGAATTTTCAATGAACACTGAACCATATCCAATCTCCTCTTGATAAACTTAAATTATTTCCTCAAAAAAGGAAACTAAGTTGTCAACTAGGAGTTTAACCCATTAAGAAACTACACAGGAGCATGGGGAAAGGAGTGCTTTATCTTTTCTTTTAACTTTAGAAATGTTAATGGTGTCAAAAGAAAAATCAGAAATAAATTCTTTTTATTTCCATTGTAAAATTTACCATAATATGAATAAAGGAAGT